TTTATTCATGGTCAGGCGATTACATGGACATTCTGAATTGCGTCTTCAAGTATTAAAGTGAGGGAATTGTATGTAATTCCTACTTGAACTGAGTCAATATGTTTCGTCTAAATCACGAGGTCGGTTGGGATGGAGGTGAAGCCGACTCCAGGTGTGAAATCCCGGTGTCTCCATTCATCGAGACTTGTGTGACACGCATCCGGTTGTACCATGGAGCTAAATGGTTAAACCAACAATGTAAGCGTGTTGGTAATTGTAAACTCGCAACAATCTTGAGACGACAAGAAAAAAAATAACTATAGCGAAGTCAGCAAACGGAGAATAGAGATAGCAGTCCCATGACCTGATCGCCAAGTCGTGGCGCCAGTGTCTATAGGACAGAAACAGACAATGAATAATAAATAAATGCGTTTAGTCCTTGCGATTTGCGTCGATGTTGCCAAGTCCAAGTGGGTCGTCGGTAGGATGACAGTAATATCAATGAAATAATGCGTGTTTTTTTCCGTGGTTTAATGGAAACTTTAAAGCATTTAATAAGTGTGTGAGAATACACACTTGTTGACAGAAATCACTTGTCGAATAAATACAATGGGGCGTGGGCGGCTTCAGTTGTTGAAAGAGAATAATTATCGACTGGATACAATAATGTTGTCACAAAAATATGTAGGACCATGATTGAATACAATGACCGGCGAAAAATATATATTGAACGCAAGTCACCCACCCGTTGTTTAGAGTATGTCGCTTTTTGACGTTTTACTTCAAGTGTGTCAAAATAATATTCTTTGTGTACTAATCGGGCTCTGGCAAAACAAGGCATTTCATTACAAAAAGGGCATACATAAAAAAACGCAATGTGGAACGATTGTTTCCCGTTGTGGTAGGGTCACTCCCAACAGCAAAATTATGTGTGATAAATATGCATGTATATAAATTGTATTCAAAAACATCTCGCGTTATTTTTACTGCAACAATTGGAGTTTAATGTTTATTCCTAAAGTTTGATGAGTCGTCAGTAACTTCATGCAACATTTTGCAGGCGAAGCGCGGGCGGAGATTGACAGCACATCGCGTTTGTTGTTGTGCTGTTTAGAATTAGCTTTTTTCAGCATTTAACCACAGTCCCTCTATCTATAGAGGGACTGTGATTTAACCGATTGCCACTTTAACCTTTTGTGAAGGCGTCAACTGTTGACAAACAATAAAGACTCATAGTCGTAGCGGCTTCATCAATAATGTGCATGCTGGTCCAAGATAAAATGCCGACGGTCTCGTCGTTTCGCGACCTCAGACCACAATGCGATTAATACCACACCAAGGGACTAACATGGGATCAGTTTTATCCGTTATATTTTCCCGAACATGACACCTACCTGTACGTTCTGAATGTGTAACAGGGCCGCCCTAAAATTGCATTCCAATGATTCGTTTCTGACATAAAAATGACATTCAATAACAGTCACTTTAACGCAAAATAAGACTTAGTGAGAACATGGATGTACTATTAACAAATATCACTGTTACCTAAAATCAGAGCATTGTACCGTCCGCTGTACATAAAACTCAAAGGTCAATTTGATATTTCGAATGAACCGACGACATGACGCTGTTTACAGTGATTTTGTATTTTTCTCGGTTAAAAAACGGCGATTACGGGAACGAGAGTACAAGTCCGCTTTAAATCCTCGCAACAAGAAAATATGCCGCTAAGACATCGGAGGCGAGGACTTATTTTTATTATTCACACAGTTCTAGCGGCCCGACTCGCTCGCAACTGCTACGTTTAGTCACCGTCCCTCAACACAGGAGGGACGGTAGTTTAGTGTACGTACCACACACGCACAAATAGCATCGTAGACATGCAGAAATTCATTTCAACACATGTACATGTAACTTGAAAACAAGTGGCTAGGACATCGGACTTAATTTTATTTCACACAATGCCGATGTAGCTAGCACTCGCAACTACATACAAATCGCCACTAGCAACTGCTATTTTTAGCGCTAGCAACTGCCATTTTCGAGCGCTAGCAACTGCCACTTTCGAGCGCTCGCAACTGACACATTTTGCTACTTGCGACTCGCAACTCACCACTCGCAACTGACGTATTTATGCACCCTTACATACCTCCATGGCTCGAGCCGAACGCGTATACATGATCATTTGTGCTGGCTCGAGCCCCAATGATGAAGACATTTATCTTTTCACCCTCCTCTTATCACTCTTACGTAACCAAATCTCTTTATCAACAGTTCACTCAATGTTTACCTTACATATTTACAAATCCCGACTCAAAATAATTGTGTTTGTCTACATAGGTCATCCACAGTACGTAATCAATAATTACAATTTGCATAATCCGATAAGATAAACTTCACATCAACTATTAATGAACAGTAGTGGCGTTCACGTTAGAGATCTCGGCACGTGCTGAGACTCGGGACCGAGTCGGCACGTGCCGAAAATTGTGTGTGAACGGTCGGCACGTGCCGAAAAGAACTCGATCTCGGTCCCGATGCGATGGATGCTTGGGACCGAAACTCGGCACGTGTCGAGATTTGCTGCCTGAACGCTCGGCACGATCCGAAATCACGCCCTCGTTGGTAAATTTAAGAAAAACATAAGTTGATTGATACTAGCATGAAATGACGATGACAGGAAATTCGGATATACTAGTAGATGGTCGGATGCTGTAGTAATGAATGCAAACCGTCATCAGCGACGCATATTTATCATAATGTGCTGCTACAACCTCTATTTTTCTTGCACATTTTACATTGATGTGAAAAAAATAATTGTGTTTCGAATCTTCTTTGCCGTTCATGTGCACGATGGCTCGTAATAAACACCATTGCAACAAATGGATATAATTTCACTATAACAATTATTATTATCATCATATGCGTATCGTTTGGGCCAACAGATCGACGAATGAGAGCGTGATTTCGGCACGAGCCCAGTCGGTCCTAAATGGGTCCTGAATAACGTGAACACAACTGCTGTAATCCCTCT